TGTGAGAAAAAAGAGCACCATGATTCAATTCACTCCGCCAGAAATTTTGCAACAGCATACTATACTAATTGACATTCACGCCGGAAGCTCCAATACGAACATTTCAGACTGATTGGGTGTCAATCTGTAGACCTGCAGACGATTGGAAAAGAGCTGGATGAGTCTAATTGTGATTACGAAGTAACGGAAGCTCGGAAAACTCACTCTGTTCGTTCTGATAAGAAAATAATTTTTTGGTGAGCACCTCAACACGGAGGCCTACATTAAGTGTGCTGAGGAGGTAGTGCTGTCCTGGTTCAAGGGGGTGGCTGCTGGAAAAGCATATGTCTGGCAAACAGGACTCTGCACCATGCCATACAAGCAGGATAACCCAATCATGACTGTCAGACAATTTCTGCGACCACCCTTTACATGTGGCTGCATACCCCCCTTGAATATTATGTAGAAGAATAGGCACAGTCGAGCAAGAGACCAGCAAAACTCCTTGTAACACGAAAGATGGCAAGGATTATGACAGCATTCACCAAATTGAACAAGGAGACAGTACAGAAGAATTGCAGGGGATTCCGAAGTCGTCTGTGGGCCGTGGCTTAAGTCAATAGAAAATTTTATTGAATAAATTTACTCTTTTTTGTATTTTTTAATTTAACACAAAAAGACGATGGATTAGTTGTGATCTTATGTCCATCGTCTTTTTTATGTTAAATTTTATATGTTCTAATGTTAATTATGTTTAAATTAAAATGTCCATGAAGATGGTCTTAAATAGACCGAAACGTCCGACGTCGACTTTATATTAACATGTGTTAAAATTTTTGTTTGTTTTTTCTGTATTTTTCTTCATACTGTCGGATCTATATCCATATATTTGCTTACATATATATATGTATGTTTATATATGTATATGTGTGTGTGTGTGTGTGTGTGTTTGGTAGGGAAATTAATGACCAAGTGAAATTTGCGTGACGCAATTCCTCTTTTCAGGGCTTTTTAGGGTGTTTGTAAAGCCAGACGATGTTTACCCAGGAGTTATGTTAAAATAATAATAATGTGTTAATAAACGGTTTGCCAAGAAAGGAGAAACTGAAATTTTGTCATTTTTCTAGGTTCTGAAATTTTAAGCTTTGGGTCCGTTATTTTTTTTTGTCCCTCTGTAGAAATAATATTTATTTGTGTATATATTAATGCAGCCAGATTTCAAATATGCTATATATATATATATATATCAGTTATTTTTATATTACCGGAAAAAGTGATACCAATTTCGATATTATATATTGTCAATGTGTGGGTGTATTTGGTCAGTGAAATTTAGTAGATAAATATTGCAGTCATGTTCGTATTTCTAAAAAAGACGAAAACTATCGCTTGCACAAATAAAACGTAAATAAAAAGAAGAGACAAAACAAGAGAAAACATTTGAAGGTCGTTGATGCTACAAGAAAAAGTTTAGAAAATCAAAACCGTAGTAAAAAGGTCAAAAAACTCAACCGGACTGTGTGCGCCGTAGTAAACACTTGTTCACCTGTTTATATTTTGATATTTTATTCAATAAGCTTAACAATATTTACTGATTCTCATACCGCTAATTTCTCCTTGGTACATATTCATCATTTCATAGCACGGTCTTTAAATAAAGAGGCTTTTTAAATATTTTTTTCAAGATGAGTTCAGATTTGTTTCTTAAGTTGTGGTACGTATCGTTCGAGCTTCTATTCTTTTTATGTACTTTCCTTGAACTTTGAACCACCGGTTCCCGTACATTCATCGAAGTTAAATAATGTCGAGCCTGGTCACTACCTAAGTGGGTGACCGGGTTGGAATACCAGGTTTGAAATACCAGTGTGCATGGGTGTGCAAGTAGTATAATGGATAATGGCTCGGAAATTGTTAATCGGAGAGCCGAGTTCCAAATCTAGTTCGGTAGTTATATTCACTGACGCACAAATACACTTGAAAAAAGTATGGATCCACCTCTTCTTCCGCAGAAATAGGTTACTTAAACTCGTGTTTTTTTTGTTTTAATTTTTTAAATATTAAAAATATATATATATATTATATTAGAAAATATTAAATAACGAGTATCTGTAAATCCTCATAAGAAGCATGTCCACTGCGTTTGTAAGAAATGCTGCGTATTATAGTTTCCTAGAAATAAAGTTCTGCTATACGAAAGAAATGAATTAACTGTATTTTATAGGCATTGTATAAATTTCACATTAAAATATAGTTAAAAGATATTTTTATGAATATTTTACGAATTACAATTACATAGTCATTAGTTTATAAGTATATATTGGACTACACAATTTTTATTTGATTTTTTGAACATTAATATTGTCTACTTTTACTGCCCATTCAATATAACTTGCCCCATAAAAATTGAATTTTAACTTTCCGTATTCGGTACCTTTAAGACGGTTACGTAGTATTTAAAAAAAAAAGAATTCTTTAAAATATTATTACTTTTTTGTTCAAGGTAACTCTATGTCCACTTCCCCAAATCTGAGCTTTGTATTTGGCTACATATGTTCGCTGCTGACTTGTCTAGAATGTCATTTTTCCAAGACATGATTAAATAACCCATCTCCCTCCACCCTCTGACCTTATTTTTCGTTTTTCTATTTTAGCTTAGATCTAACATTTAATTGGTTCTTCTAGACATGCCCAAAAGTATATTTATTAATTTTGACATTAGGTTCCCCGCTTTTAACTTTCAAAATAAGTAACGATTTGTTTTCATATTTCCCAAATAAATCATTTTTATCATAAGTTATCTACATCGCCCAAAGAGGAACTATTATAGTTCCGAAACATGAAAGGTTTTGTGTAGAGATGTAAAATGTTTTATTGTAATCTATTATAATGAAATATTTTATTTTATATATATATATATATATATATATATATATATATATATATATATTATATATTAAATAATATAGACAAGTGTTGTCTATTTATTTTATGTAAAATTTTTCGTATCTTCTGATAAGTTTGATAACATTATCATTAACCGAAAAAAGAAATTAACAATATTTATTATTTTTTAATAAAATCTAAGCTTTCGGCTTACTCAAGCCATTATCAAAGATGTAATTACAAACATATCAAACAATATACGGACACGACAGTGATGATAGTCTGCCATTGTTTTGTTTACATAGTGGATCACTAAGCAACGATGAACACGCGCATATAAGACGCTAGAAGCGAAAATCGCACCGCATCTCATGACGTCACACATGACTACACGAGAGTGAATTGTAGAATGAAATAAGGAAAGCCGTTGATATAAACCAATGGCTTATGTTACCAATTATAGAAATTATAGACATTTAAGAATATTTGTAGAGATTCCATAGTTGATTTTGTTTAGGTTGGGTTTTAACTGTTTGATGTATAATGCTTCAAGTATTTTTAGTTTTTGTCTATTGTTTTCATGTCGAAGTATAGTTGTGTTTTCGACAAGTATTTTACGGAATTGCGTGTGCGGGCAGGCATGTTGTTTTAAATGCCTAAAAATGTTAGAGTTTTTCATTAAAATGTAGTGTCAAGCGTCGTGAAAGGAGTTTGTGGTGTGACCAACATAAATATTATTTAATTCGTTGGAGATACACTCTCCAAAGGGCATTTGAATTTATAAACTATGTTGGTTTTTTGCAAATCGCTAACCGGGGGAGAAGAATCATTGCGAAGTATTAAGTTGGATATACTAGATTTAGTGTAGTATATGATTAATTTAATTTTTTTGCTAGGATCTGTAGTTGATATATTAGAATTTACTAAATTTTTTAGTGTTCATCTTTGCTTAGTGATCCACTATGTAAACAAAACAATGACAGACTATCATCACTGTCGTGTCCATATATTGTTTGATATGTTTGTAATTACATCTTTGATAATGGCTTGAGTAAGCCGAAAGCTTAGATTTTATTAAAAAATAATGGATAAATATTGTTTTTTTTTCGGTTAATGATAATGTTATCAAACTTATAAGAAGAAACGAAAAATTTTACATAAAAATAAATAGACAACACTTGTCTATATTATTTAATGAAACGTGTATAAATGAAAATATGCTGCAAATACACACACAAATATATATATATATATATATATATATATATATATATATATATATATATATATATATGTTTGGTGCAAAATACATGAGCAATGTATGTAAGATATAATTCTTGAAAACCAGTTGGATGCCATCGTATTTATAGTTAGTTGTCAACGTCTCGCTATGTATATAAGTTGTTCTGAGAATGTTCCTCGTACAGAGATAAATTTTGACAATAAAATAAAATTATTTAAAAGATCCAACAAATTTTCACGAATTCCATCTCACTTGTACACACACACACATACACACACACACACATACACACAAACACATTCAATAGCGTCATTCGCATATCTGTTTGAAACTTGAAATGTCCAACGACTTAATATTCTTTTCAGGATTTTGGATATTTTGTGTGCATTCTTCACCGTTTGTTTTTATTATTCATAATTTAATTCCCTGAGTTTCACTACAACATTTGGATTTGTTAATTAATCATTTATTAATGCACTTCTGAGCAGTCTGTTTCTGGTTATGTCTTATTTTATAGAATCTATCGAGATTAGTCATTGGATGCAAAACTAGACTCTGAAAGAATTATTCACCAATCATTTCCTGAGTATTTTGAGCCCACGCAGAACTCCGAAAATACCAAAAATACCAATTTTTCTTTGTCTTCTTTCTCTCTTTCTAAATTTCATAACAATTACCAATCTTATTTCGTTTCTTTTCTTTTCTTTTCAATAAAATATATTTTCTTTTTTCTCTGCTTTCAGATATCTCCAATAATACTACCGAAATTTATTTTCAACACTTTTCCAACACCTTCTGTGGAACTGCATCATTCCATCTCTCTTTCTATTTCATTCCTTCTCTCTTTCTACCTCGTTCCCTCTCTCTTTCCCCCTCATAGCCTCTCTCTTTCTATATGATTCTTTCTCTATTTCTATCTCATTCCTTCTCTCTTTCTATCACATTCCCTCTTTCTTTCTATCTGATTTCCTCTCTCTTTCCACCTCATAGTCTCTCTCTTTCTTTATCATTCCCTCTCTCTTTCCACCTCATAGTCTCTCTCTTTCTTTATCATTCCCTCTCTTTTTCCATAGCCTCTCTCTTTCTATATCATTCTGTCTCTATTTCTATCTCATTCCTTCTCTTTTCTATTACATTCCCTCTTTCTTTCTATCTGATTTCCTCTCTCTTTCCACCTAATAGTCTCTCTCTTTCTTTATCATTCCCTCTCTCTTTCCCCCTCATAGCCTCTCTCTTTCTATATCATTCTGTCTCTATTTCTATCTCATTCCTTCTCTTTCTATCACATTCCCTCTTTCTTTCTATCTGATTTCTCTCTCTTTTCCACCTCATAGTCTCTCTCTTTCTTTATCATTCCCTCTCTTTCCACCTCATTATCTCTCTTTCTTTATCATTCCCTCTCTCTTTCCCCTCATTCTCTCTTTCTATATCATTCTGTCTCTATTTCTATCTCATTCCCTTCTTTCTCATCACATTCCTCTTTCTTTCTTCTGATTTCCTCTCTCTTTCCACCTCATAGTCTCTCTCTTTCTTTATCATTCCCTCTCTCTTTCCACCTTATAGTCTCTCTCTTTCTTTATCATTCCCTCTCTCTTTCCCCCTCATAGCCTCTCTCTTTCTATATCATTCTTTCTCTATTTCTATCTCATTCCTTCTCTCTTTCTATCACATTCCCTCTTTCTTTCTATCTGATTCCCTCTCTCTTTCCATCTCATAGCCTCTCTCTTTCTATATCATTCCCTCTCTATTTCTATCTCATTCCTTCTCTCTTTCTATATCATTCCCTCTCTCTTTCTATTTGATTCCCTCTCTCTCTTTCCACCTCATAGCCTCTCTCTTTCTATATCATTCCTTCTCTATTTCTATCTCATTCCTTCTCTCTTTCTATCACATTCCCTCTTTCTCTTTCTGTCTGATTCCCTTTCTCTTTCTATCTCATTTACTCTCTCTCTCTTTCTATCTCAGTCCCCCTCTCTCTCTTTTTCTATGCCATTCCGTCTCTTTCTCTTACTATCCCATACACTCTCTCTTTCTCTCCAATAAATGTGTTTCTTCTTCCTTATTATTACTGTCGTTAGTATAAGTATTTCTTTTATTATGTTCGCCTTCTTCTAAACTTTAGAAGAAGGCGAATTTTAGAAGAAGGCGAACTTTAGAAGAAGGCGAACTTTAGAATCTAAAGTTTACGTTATCTTCGTTTTAATAAAAAAAAAAATATGCTCTTCAATTTGCGCCATCGTGATTTTAAAATATTCCGTTCATCAGAATTCGAAGTTCTTCACATTTGTATGTGTTTTGTCTATTATCTAAAGTTATGCTGGATTTCAGGAACGATCATTTTGCTCTATTTAATACGAATCATTACTCTTGTCATTTTTATAAACTTATATTATTGAATATCCCGATAATAATTCCCAGTACTTTTTTTAACATGTTCTTTTTCTGTCTTATCCTGTGGAATGTCGATACGATGCTTAGTTTTCTCTTCTGTTCTCTATGATGATGATTTTCTAAGCGTAGAACAAACGTGAACAAGGCCAAATATGTGGGCCACCCACGAAGGATCGAACTTACTATTAAGTCATAAGTGATCTTCCGAGATAATCTCGGTAACCATTACACCTCGTCAAATTGCCCTCTTTTACTAAGCATAGCTTACCTGTGGCATACGGCTTAGAATATGGGGCACGCAGTGATGCTCAAACTGACTACACACTCGTAATTGGCTTTTGTCTACTATAATATGTAAACTAACCAACGCTTTTATCTATGCGTCCTTTAGGACATTTGTGTATGAATTTCTAGGACTTGTACACCTAATGTCTCGGGAACTATTTTTTTTACTAGTGCTCATACTGCTATTTTCTGTTATTATTGTTGCATATTTTTTACCAGAAATAATATTGCAATTTTTGTTGCTCTTCATTATTTTTCTCTAGTAATTCTTACAGCTGGTTCCCCTATTGTATTCATATTTGTGCTTGGTCGGCTCAGGAGATTATTGTGGCCTAGCATATGTGCTGATTCCTTAAGTTTTCGTATTTTCTCGTGATGTTCTCTGTCTATTATTATCCAGTGACTAGACCCAAAGAGTTGTGAGTTCAGTACAAGACTACCGCAGGGCTGAACCAAAAATTTAAGAGTTGAGTTAAAGGAAAATAACTGAGACTTCCGGAAGAGGTATGGCATGTGGGACCAGAACAATCTACCCCGGTGGACGAAATAAAGGGTTCGATTCGAAATTCCAATCACCTGAAGAAGGCCGGTGCGTACAACGGCCGAAACGTTGTGAATATGGCAATGAAGATGGGGATAACAATCCGAATAATGTAAATAATGTAAGTAATCATAATACCTCATCTCAGAGATATCGACATATATTGAATAATAAACTGTTCTTTATTTCGTACCTATAGTACCTTGGTGGTTTCAGTGTAGATTGAGTTTTGGTAAGTCTTTTAAATACTTCAGCAATCTCTTTAGTATTCTAGCAGATTTCTGCTTTCAAACACCGGTTCCCGTCCGATCACCGAAGTGAAGCAACGTCGAGCCCGCTCATTACTTAGAGGGGTGACCGCTTAGGAATACCAGGTGTTGTAAGCTTGGATGTTCGAGTGGCGTACTGGATAAGAGCTCAGCATTAGAAGTCGGAATGCCGAGTTCGATTACCAGTCGGGTTTCTTAAATTCACTTATATGCAAATACCCTTGGGAAAGGCATAAAATCCACATCTTCTTCCCGCATCTATGGGTTAAAAATTGTAAGACTTGAATCTGAAAATAATTATCTCGAAGAAATTGTTCATACAATATTCACTTCTGCAATCCCAAAATATGTTTCGGCTTTAAATAAATTATAACCGTTTCCTCAGGTTTCTAATTCGTCCAGATATTTTCCTAACCTAATCCAAACCATCGGAAGCGCTCCTGCAATGATGGGCGTAATTTTCACTTTCATATTCCACATTTTTATCAGTTCTTTTGCGAGATCGAAAGATTTCTCCAGTTTTTATCTGAAATCTGCTGGAACAGACACCATTGATTTATGTCGGGATTTCCTTATTTCCAGTGCTTATAATAGTCTGATGAAATGACAAAAGAGTTTCTATCAGGGAAAGCACTTTGGGAGCCAAAATGTACATATTGCATTCGGCCAAGGGTCTAGCCTGAAAAAACAAAATAGTTGTCAATATTTCTAAAATGCACTGTTGTAACTATTTACACTATTTACTTTGTTCGGCCTTCTTAAGGTGATATACGCAAGAATTTCGATCAGAAACCTTTATTTAGTGCATAGTTGTAGACTGTTCTAGTTCCACGTGGCATAAACCATTGGAAAAAGGCGTTGGTTGAAGTAATCCGAAAAAGTTGACTTTATCCAAACAGTTGTATGTCCGATACTTTGTCACAGCAGAGTTGAAAAAAAAAACTTAGAGAATTAACTGAAAATGAGATTTTTAGAAAAGGCATGGCACGTTTAACAAGAACAATCTACCATCGTGGACTGAATAAAAGCTTCAGTTCAAAATGCCAAAGTATATCACATGAAGAAGGCCGGAGCGTACAATGACCGAAATGTTGTTTATATGACAATAAACGTTAGGACAGCAGTCCGAACAATGCAAATAGTGTAAATAGTTTTTTTTTTATTTAAGAATACAATTCACTGCATTAATGAATGTTCCATGAGAGTATCTTGCTAAATATTTCTACACGAGGTGCACAAGATTCTCATCATTATCAAAACTCCTTTTATTACTAGTACTACTGCTATTATTAATATTACTACCAGTTATAACATTGCCATTACTAAAGTAAACGTTTTTCTTCCTTTTCATATCCTCATTTTTTGGCGAATTCCAAATACCTTCGCGTTTGATATTATTATTGTATTTATTAATGTTTATTTATCCAAAAGCACTTGTATTCCCGCTTTATCTTGTAATACTTTGTCATTTACTTGATTTTTCAAATATTTTCTGAAGTTTTTTCTTTCTTCTACTTCTCTCAGTTTGTTTATGCTTCTCATGACCCCTTTCTTGCCATCCTCTTTAAGCAGATGTCCAAGGCTTATGCGAAATCATCTCCGCTTCCCCGGCCTATCACTTGGGTCTTTTCTTCTTGCCTCAGACCTCTCCTCGTCCTCTCTCCTTCTTGGCTCCCCGAACTATCTCAAGTTGGCGATTTATTGAGCCAAATCCTACTTCAACCCGACTAACTGTCCTTTCCCCGATTTTCAATTTCCATATTTCAAAATTTTTATTACGGTTTACATCAAAACTGGCAAACTTTAATGAATTTACGAAATATACGTTGTTTCAAAGTGATAAATCTCGGCCTCTAAAAATTTTTCGAAAATGAAAAATTGAAAAAGGGGAAAATAAAAAGGAAAATGAAATATAAACACGGGAAACCCAGAGAAATTATGGATTGAAAAATGCTTGTAAAAATACTTTCTAAGTAACTAATTTTGTCTAAACATATATATATATATATATATATATATATATATATATATATATATATATATATATATATATATATCTAAATGTGTTTGTGTGTGTGTGTGCGTAGGGGTTATATGTAGTTTATACATTTATAGCAACTATAAAAGTTTATATATCATATATGTGTGTGATTTTATATTATTTACTGTTGTAGCTTAAACATAAATATGAGAATATCTGTCTACTTTTTTTTTTAAATAGGTGTGCCTGTATTGGAAAAGTAATTTCAATCGGTATGTATATATATATATATATATATATATATATATATATATATATATATATATATATATATATACACATATATATATATAGTGTGTGTGTATGAGGATATATTCATATCTATTTTTTGTGTTCGTTTGTGTTGCTGTGTGTATCTGTATATTCATACTTACTTTCTACCAGACAAATCAAGTAAGGTGACATACAGAGTTATAGACACTGGCAATTTCTAAATATTAAACGTCAGTAAGTGCCTAACCATTTAAAATATGTACGTTTATTATATGTATATGGCCCTTTGTATTTGCATACTATAAAGTGTACTTAGGCAGCAAACTTTCATTCAAAAATATTTAATCATTGTGTGATTTGATTGTTACGACTTATCAATCTTTAGTAACTCATTTAAAGTCAGAAATAATTTTTAGATTGTAAGAAGTTTTGGGAGAGAAAAATAATTTTGTTGATATAATTAAACCTTAACTGATGGAGAAGAGGTGACTACATACCTTTTCCAAGAATTTCTGCTCTTAAGTGAATATAAAGAAACTGTCTGGAATCGGAACTCTAATATCCGACTTTAAATTCCGAGCCGTTATCCTTGACATCTCAAAACATATAGCATCTTGGTATTCCTCAGCAACCACAGAACTGGATATTGAGCAGACTCGACGTTGCTTAACTTCGTTGATCCTCCGGGAACCGGTAATTTAGCGTAATGTATCTCTAAACCTAACAACTGACCCTTGCCTTGAAGAAGTCTAAATTTCTCAGGGAACCACCAAAGCGAGTGGCTGTTCCACGAAGATGCAATTCTTATGAAAAGCCGAGTGAAACTTTCGTCTTTCATTTGAAACACGGAGTAAATGTGCATGATTCGAGTCCATGGCAAGTAGCATGGTGCGTCCTGGAAGTAAAAGTCTGAACTGCTAGGACAAAAGAATTGAACTGGTATATATATGATATAAAATGTTATAATTGGGAGGACCATGAAAATAATAGATTCCTCTTTCCAAATTTTTGAATTTTTGCTATGGATCAGTCTTAAAATTTAGTAGCAAATCTATGTACTTAAGGCAATGAAATATGGCCCTATAACATCGCACATAATTTGTAAGTATAATGTGCATGTATTACTATATCTCAACTGATTGCTTGGTTAGTTTTGTTTAGCGGCATATCAACATCGGTAGGTTACTTATTTTGAAATTATTATGCCTTCAACTATGGATAAAACGTATTGTTGGTCATTTTCCTTTAAATATGGATTGTTGGTCATTTTATTATAATAAATGAACAGTTGACCTTTGTTTGGGGGTACACTATTGGCCCATAACTGAGACTCTAAAAGGTGCTACCAGCCCGTGTCAGAAGTTATGTTTTTTTTTGTTTTTGTTTTTTTTTTTGCATTAAGTGTGTATCGTTTGTTATTTTGCTTTAAATAAGTACCGTGGTTTATTTTTCTTTAAATATGTATTGTGTGTTATTTTGCTTTAAATATGTATTGTGGGTTATTTTGCTTTAAATATGTATTGTGTGTAATTTTGCTTTAAATATGTATTGTGGGTTATTTTGCTTTAAATATGTATTGTGTGTTATTTTGCTTTAAATATGTATTGTGGGTTATTTTGATTTACATTTTTATAGTTGGTTATTTTCCTTTAAAATATATTGTTCATTTTGCTTCAAATATCTATTGTAGATATTGTTGCTTTAAATATGTCTGTTGTTTATTTTCCTTTCAATATGTATTGCTGGTTTATTTTGCTTTAAATACGTATTGTGTGTTATTTTGCTTTAAATATGCATTGTTGGTTATTTTGCTTTAAATACGTATTGTGTGTTATTTTGCTTTCAGTATGTATTGTTGGTTATTTTGCTTTAAAAAGTATTGTTGGTTATTTTGCTTCAAATATCTATTGTAGATAATGTTGCTTTAAATATGTATGTTGTTTATTTTCCTTTAAATATGTATTGTTGGTTTATTTTGCTTTAAATATGTATTGTGTGTTATTTTGCTTTAAATATGTATTGTGGTTTATTTTGCTTTAAATATGTATTGTGTGTCATTTTGCTTTACATTTGTATTGTGGTTTATTTAGCTTTACATTTGTATAGTTGGTTATTATGATTTAAATATGTATTGTTGTTTATTTTGCTCTAGATATATATTTTTGCTCATTTTGTTCTTAATATGCATTTTTGGTCATTTTATTGTAATAAATGAACAGTTGATTTTTGTTTGGGGGTTCAAGTGGGTAGTTAAGGGGTGGTTTCACGCTCCTCAAAACACCGACTCACCCGTTCAGAGGCCGTGCTGCTTGATGTAGTTTACTACCATACCCAGAACGATCTCCTTTAATATAAATACGTATACTTGTATAGATGAATGCGTAAAAGTATATATCGTCTCTCATACGCTCTCTCTAGATGCCATTTTATGTGTGTAACCGTTGAGAAATGCAGGATTACCATATCATGTACTGACGCATGACACGTGGAAGAAATTGCGTTGTGAAAGCTGTTTGGAAGCCTCGTTGGTTTACTTAGCACGAAGTCACAAGTCATCGTGACTGAAGCTTTCAACTAAGGCTCAGATGCGCCTTTTTCCCTGAAGATATAACTAAATTCTCTCAGCATAATTACAGAATAATCTACTGGTTTGCTCTGTTGGTGTTGAATAAACACAAAATGTTTGAGTAGGTAAGGACAAAAGAGATTACAGAGCTACAATAACAGAAGGAATAACATTGATTCTAGTAGCCACCTCTTCAAACACGCGTGCTTGAGAGGAACTTCGACGGTTAACAAGCTTGTCACGATAGCGCAATTAGGAATGAATAGTGAGTTTGGTTCTCATTGTGTTCCCCATACTTTCGGCTTTGTGCAACATCTAAAGTATGCTTAGAAAAATCACCATACATGCACCCGTAGGCGTACACAAACACACACGCACACACAAAAAAACACGAAAAACTCTGTGTAATGCGTTTCGTCATCTAAACCAGGGTTTCTCAACATTTTCTTCATTGTGGCCCACATAAGTACTAACAAATTCCATGTAACGGGAAATAAATTTTATTTACACAAACAAAATGTAGAAGAAAATATAAATCCTGACTAAGGACTACACGACTCAGATTGTCAAATTGAACGTCCAAGCCATGGTTCAGATTTAAGCGTTAGTCACTCTCTTTTTCAAGCTGCATCAGCTGGCCAATTTGTGGATCTAAGTTCTAACGATGAGAAGACTTTAAAAAAAGATTAAAAATGCATATTATGCTTTATTTTTCATAATTTTTCAACACGGGTTTCGGGTCTCGTAAAGAGTGGATATTTCCAGATATTAAAATAAATTAATTTTCCTTATCTTTTTTGACGTTAAACATTCTCGATGTTAAACATTGTCTTTTTTCTGTAGTAGTGACACAAATGTCTTTCTTGGACTGGCAGTGAGAAAGTTCTTCTGCTTGAACGGTAATATAAAAAGATTGTTACGAAAAAGGGTGAGGAACTATATCTGTATTCTTATCTTTTAATGACTTCTGTGTGTTCTTAGATCTATTTATATTTTTTGCATCGTGTTTGATTTTGTTAGTATGCGTATGTATATGTATACTCCCTCTCCATACACGCATGCTGTCTTTTTATAAGGAATTAGAATACACATATATACATACATATATACACGCACATATACATAAATATACATACATATATACATACATACACATATACACAATGACTATGCTGTGTAGCGTTCGTGTGTATGCTTGTGAGTAGTCTATTTTTTTGCCAATATGTGTATATATATTCATGCTCCACAGATACCCGCGCGCGTGTGTGTGCGTATGCATGTGAGTGGTTTGACAACTGTATTTGGCCATGTTGTGTGTTTTTGTACATGGTGATTGCCAACTCGTGTGCGATTATGGCCATTACTACATATCTTTTTGGAGATATTCTATTGATAGGCTGAATGAACAAATACACACACACACAAAATACACACACACACACATATATATATATATATATATATATATATATATATATATATGCACACACACACACAAATACGTTTGAGTATTAAACACGAAGATAGTACGGATCCCATTCTAAATGTGAAATACTAAATAAATGTTGTAAATATAAAGCCGGCAACAAGTTCTCTATATTATGTATGGAGGAGAAGTTAGCAATAGCTACCTTCAACAAAACAAAAGTTTTATTAAACCAGAGGTCAGAAATCCTTAATAGATGCAGGCATTAAAAAAAACCCAAAAAAAACTTGGTTATAAGAATAAAGATTTTATTTGTTTTTAATCACGTGTTTTATATCTTTTTAAGCTTATGTGAATTTTAGGTTTTTAGGTGTAATTTTATAAATAAATTAGTCCCTCGACAATTCCTCCTTAGCAAGTTCACCCTGATGATCCCATGTGGTGAATCCTAGGTGGGTCGTACCTGGCTCATTAGGATTTATTTA